ACGTGGAGGGCGGTGACGGCGCGGGCGAGGGCGCGGGCTCCCGGGCAGGAAGGGCTGTTTCCCCCAGGCCTGGCCGAGGGAGGAGGGAGATGCCGACTCTTCGCCTACTTTCGGGCAGAGACACGTAGTTAGGAAGGACCGTGGTTTCCTTTCTTACCCTGTCTCCACCCACCCCAGCGAAACTTTCATGTGAAACATACATTTTTTAAAATTTTGCCTGTTTTCAAGGAAGTTCGTGCCAGACAGATTTAGAACTATCAGTTAACTTTTTAGTATTATTGAGGCATCTGGAAGGAAAAAAAGAAAAAAGAGAAAGTTTTGAGAAGGGGTGATTCAAGGCATATAAAAATGCCGCCTTTCCCAGAATTGATTCTGGGAAAAAATTAATTCTGAGAGAAAAATCTTTCCAGCTTCCTGGCAACTGGAGCCCAGAAAATATAGCACTAAGGCAACGGGGACAACAATTAGGACAGGAACTACTTCTAGCTGAAAAAACACCTTACCTTTCTGTGTGATGATAAGGTTTACTGTTTAATTTTCAAATCTCATTCATTAAGTTCTCCTACGGCTCAGTGTTTTTTATTTGCTAGTTCCAAAGGCATTGGTAAATGTGAAGCAGAAACTATTTTTGTGGGACTGAAACAATGATACCTGTTTTTCCCTGTATTTTAATATTAAGACAAGTATGGTGTTTCCGACAGCCTTCTGTTAACTTCGTTTTTCTCAGTAAACATTCGAGGAAAAATAAAACTTATAAAGAAAACCAGATCTGCCTGTCCCTGCTTCATACAAACATTGAGTCTTTATTTTTAACTAACTGTAAATTTGCTTTATTAGGAAACCAAACTAATGATGTCATTGTAATACTATATTGTTGTAATCCTTTGGCTTTGTTGCAGTAAGCTTTAGTACAGTAATTTGACTCTGGAAGTTAATTATTACAGATCTGATCTTATGCTTTTGATTTACCATGTCTTGGGGTACACAGGCTTGATTTAATATTTATCTGATGATGTTTTTATGTCACTGTAAATGGTTTTCGTAAAGCTTGTACGTAATAGATTAAGATACCATTTCTCATTATTAATCTTGTTAGCTTGAATAAAATCCTGGGTGTATAATCACTCTCATCTCAACACAGAAAATCTGAACACAACTGAAAGAAAGGGCTGTAAGTTGTGTGGTTAATTTATAAGGTAGCTGTCTTACTGGAATGGTTAACAAGTTGAACAAGTTGCTGTGCATAAAAAATGCTGCTCTGACCTTCAGTTGCTCACCTCACTAGTTTTACTTTTAAGTTATCAGATCTTAGTGTGTAATTAGACCTATGCCAGTGTAGGACCTTGTATCTCTGATAAAGTTTGTGTAGTCACTTAAATTATATATGAAGGACAGGGGATACACCAAGTGATCAAAGTGTATTATACTCTCCCAGTCATAAACGGCTAGTTCTAGTTGCCAGGAATTATTCAATTCAAAGTCTGGTTTAGACAACACTGCTCTGCTGAACAGGTTGAGTCACCATGTGTTTCAGCGTTCGTTTGTTTGGGGATTTTTTGGTTTTTTGACACAGGGCCTCTGCTGTGTAGTTCAAACTGGTCTTGAACTACGGTAGCCCAGGCTGACCTTGAACTCAGCCTGCCCCTGCCTCAGCCTGGGCTGGGATTCCAGGGGTGCGACACCACATCTGCCCTAGCATCAGTTTTAACATTCAGATAAATGGGACAAGTTTAGGAAAATTGATAAATGTCAAGGACATATAGTTGGGAGTTAACGGGCACACTTCATTCATTTAATAAATTCTGATTTTCGAAACGTAAGTTTTCTGACAAGTTTATTCTCAGTTTGCTATAGAAACAACTCCTGTGCTCTATTTTCTACTAATTAAAAAAAAAAAAAAAGACTGACTTTTTTTGGTACCAAGGATTGAACTGGGGTCCTTGTGCTTGCGGGGCAGGCGTGGTGCCACTGAGTTACATCCCCAGCCTGGAGGCTTTTAACCTAACTCTTAAACTTTCAATTCTCTCACCTCTCACACTTAGCACTTTTACTTCTGTGTAGGTTTAATCCTTCCCCTCTCTCAACCCTGCTCTTTTTCAAGCTAACCAATCCACTTGTTCTTTTGATCCTGTGCTTTCTTCCCACGGTCCCTATAATTATCATTACAATGCTTGCCTTTTCTCTTTCCTTTAACCTATAAAAGTGGTTCAAGCCGCCTCCTGCTTTCCTCCTGCTACCTTTTCAATTTTCTAAGAAGATAGATCTATCCTATATAGCAGTGCCATCTGACACTTGAAATGTGACGAGTTCAGTCTGAGATAGTCTTAAGGTTAAAGTATACATTGGATTCCCAAAACTGTGGAAAATTAAAATATCTCAGTTACAATTTTGTGTTCCTTTTTGCTTTTTTAAAAAATGGTTGCCAGAAAATTATGCAGCTTTCATCTGTGGCTCATGTTGTTATTAGTGCTGCTGTATGGCATTAAGAGTGAGTTGTGTTCCTGGATAGCGTGTTATTTATTAGACTAGGCTGTAAATATATTAGGACAAGAACCATGCCTTACTTATCTGTATATCCTTTGTGTTTATAAGAGCAGTGACCCTATTTGGTATTTACACATGTGTGACTTATTTATTTCACTTAGCAGTATGTCCTCAATATGTATCCATTTTCCTATGAATGAATCTAATTTCTCATTCTTTATGGCTGAGTAGTATTCCATTTTATAGAAAAACTACATCTTCTTTATCCAGTTTCCAGCTGATGGGCAAATGCGCTGTTTCCTCTGGTGTGAAAAAATATAATAGTAAATAAGATCCTAATGACATAATTGACAATGTGAAATAGGAAGAAAGGGGCTAAAGGTGTAGGGAAAGTGGGAAGGGTAGGGGAAAGGTAATAAGGGAAAAGAAAAAAATATGAGAAAATGAAAAAATGGAAATAAAGTGTTTGTAAATGGGGGGGTGAAGGGAGGGCAGGGACAAGGGGAAAAAATGAGAGCCAAGACCTGTCATGTAAAGGTACAAGATCCCAATAATGAATGTAACTGTACTATATACCTAAAATGTACCAATAAACTCAATTAAAAATAAAAATCAGTGACCAAGTTTAGGTACCCAGTCACCAAGTGATGGTTGGATAAATGAAGGTATCGGATTTAATTCAGCCTCAGTTTGGAAATAACCTGTTTTCCTTATAGTAAATGAAGTAATGAATGAAAAAATAGGAAAAGCAAGCACTGGCCTATAGTGATAGTTTCTGTGTGGCTACGTAAGTTTTGACTTCAAAGAAGCAATGTTTAATAATCTAGATATATATTTTCAATTTTAATTTTTATGAATGCATATTCATATACATGATTATATTCTTTTTTTTTGGTAACGGGGATCAAACTGAGGTCCTTGTGCTTGCGAGGCAGGCCACCGAACCGCTGAGCTAAATACCCGGCCCTCATGATTATATTCTTCATGGGGAGTTGGTATGTGTACATAAACATCTTAATTCTATTTTCATTTCTTTCCCCTCCCTTCCATCTCTTGATCCCCTTCTCTTTTGCAAACCATCTATTTCCCCGTTTCCTATTGTCTGCCTCTTATTTTGCCTTTTATTTATACAGTACTTTGGGTTTTTCATATAAGAGAAACCATGCACTATTTAAGTTTGTGTGTCTGATTTATTTCACTTAACATTATGGTCAAAAAGTCCTATAAATGACTCACATTTATCCTTCGTTATGTAGGAGTAATACTCCTTTTTTTTTTTTTTTTTTTATGTGGTAGTAAAGATTGAACCCAGGGCCGAGCTGAATCCCCCCCCCCCCCTTTTTTTTTTAAACAAGGTCTCACTAATTTGCCCAGGCTGGTCTTGAACTTGTGATTCTTCTGTCTCAGTCTCCCAGAGAATGCTGGGATTATAGGCCTGCACTACCACATTTCTTCAATACTGGGGATCAAACCCAGGGACACTGTAACACTGAGCTGCCTCCCTATTCCTAGTTGCTTGTTATTTTACTATGTAGCCCAGGCTGGCCTTAAACATGAAGCATTCCTTCTGCCTCAGCCTCCCAAATCCTGGGATTACAGGCATGTGCTCCCATGCCTGGCTAGAATATTTTCTTAATTA